GCAAACTCTCTCCCCAGAGTCTTTTTCCTGATCCATTTTCTAGTGGTGTAAAATTCCACTTCTTCCCGCTTCCTATTAGATTCTCTGAATGCACAGAACTTTCTTTTCCATCGTTCTTCAGTAAACTGGTCTGTAGAGAGTGAAATATAAGCTGGTTCCCAATGCATATGAGGGATAGCAGGGTAACACCAAAAAGCATGGGGTCATGACAAAGGAAATGGCATTTCTTTCCTAGAACAGAGAGGAGCTGTGGATGCAGAAATACGATTAAAAGCAGAAAACGAAAATAGTTCCCATCCTAGAAGCACCTTACTTGTTTTGTCTTGTTTTGTTTAATAGTAATTTTCTCTGCTGTAGAAAGTAGCAGATTTAAGGAGGAGGAGAGATGGGAGGGGGTGTAAGTGAACAATATATCAGTTACAGAATATCACAGAAAAGTTAAAATTTTAGACTACGTGTATCCTCAGGCCGAGAAGGTTGTCTGATGTGGAATTGTGCCGTAAGATGAGAAACTAATAGACAAATGTGATGGATCAACATGAGTTTGGACATCTATATTCAGAGCCTCGTAAAATCAAACGTAACTTCTTCATATTTATTGGCACACATAAAAATAAATATTCTGTAACAAACATTTAAATGAGGAAGTACCACATGCAAGTCGGCCTGGTATATTTGCTTTGATTCATCTGAACCAGGCGATACAAAGCATACGAACATTTTACCCTTCTCTCTCTCACACTTTCTCTCTGTGGACAGCACTCACATATATAATTAATTATATGCCCAGATCTATTTTCTCAGCATTGGAAAGCAGAGAGAAAAAGCAGATACGCATGTCTGACACTCAGGGTCCTACATATAATTTATGACTGCAGCGAGGCATCTCCCCCAAGTCCCCCACGTGTTGTGTCCCTGGTCTTCAAATCTCTTTTCCTGTCTCGGGAAGAGAGTGAAATCAGAATGCAGGATTTCACAGTAATCTCCACAGCAGATGGTGACGTTCCAAACAGTCTCTTTAAGGTGAACATGTGACCTCCTGTACCGCCGAGGGGCTTCGGCGTCACGTGGTGGAATGAATACTACGTCTGATAGAGCTCTGATTAGACAACTGACCTGGTTCCCAGCTGTAGCCACGAGAAGCAAAGTTGACATTTCTGGATCACTCTCCCCAGAAGCGTCACTTACCCACGTCTGGGGCAGGCAATCTCACAGAGGGACTGACACACCGCTAGTGGGGGTTGGGGGGAGCTCAAGCTGTGCAGCCGAAGGCTCATTCAAGTTGCAGAACTTGGGCTGTTTTTTCTCTTCCCCATCCCCCCACCTCCCGACAAACCACATCTTGACTCATTCGGTCAAAAGAAAAACTCTTTCGGTTATTTGATATTTGGGAAACCTCCAGGAGACCGTAACTTAGTTCTGAGGAAGCCTCCTTCTCTCCCTTTGCTGGGAACGCGCGCGCACACGCACGCACACACACACACACACACACACACACACACACACACACAGCTCTCTACACCATGGTGGTTCAGGCTGCAGTGACTCCAAACAGATCCCAAAGACTTTTGCTGAAAATCCCTTATGGATCTCTGAGACGACGCAGCGTGGAGAGGGTAAGCGACGTGGCGGGCTGTCTGTTTTCACCGAGCGATTGTTCCAGAGGAAGGTGGATGTTTGTTTTCATTGCACATAGCATCCTTCTGCAAGTCTCGTTTTCCTGAAAATTTCAGATGTCTGGGACAGTAGAATACTGTCGTATGCAAATTTTTTTTTCCTGACAGAAAATGATGAGAAATTTGAAACAGAAATTTTCGTCAGCCATGCACATATTTTTTGGGGGGGGAGGGGACGGGGGGAGGATGTTAGAGATGAAAATGGACACAATTGGAGTGGGGGCTGCCTTCTGGAATGGGTACAGAAGATGTGAGTGCTTGCTGAGAGAAGCATCGGGCTGTGAAAACTGTTTTCTTCTACGGTTAGTGAAACAGATCCCTTAGTGCAGTAGGGCTGCAGATTTCCTCTCTGGGTGACAGTGTCTTCAAAGGAGGTGACGATGATATTAAGGAGCTGTGATGCCTTGAGGGTATATAAACTGCGCACACAGTTGGTTAAAATCTTCTCCGTTGTTTTGTTGTTGTTGCTGTTTCAAATACCTTGCTATCATTCTGGGTTTTGTTTTTTTAACTACTATGGATTTTGGCTTAAAATTATTGTTAGTTTTCTGAAAGTATGCTTGCTTTATTGGCAGAGAAAATTCTGTAAACGATACTAAGGATTTGTCCTTCTCGAGAGTGACTAATGCCGTTTTGTGGGTGACCGTAATGAATGCAAAGCTGGTTGTCCTCAAGAGGGTGGGCTCGTTTGTGGGGGAACAGCACCTACCCCTACATGGACGTGGAGTGTTTGGAGGGTCTAAGAAACCCCCCAAAGTCCCTGTTCGAATCATGGCAGGCCCCTATGTGAGCTATGGACGTCTACTTAGATGTCTCGAGTTAAGGTGTAACGTGAGATCAACAAAGAGCTCTCTTGATAGATAAGCAATGGGCCACATCTTATAAAGGGGAGTAGCGTTTAATTCAAGTGATTTTTTTCTGGTGTCTGTGCTTACTACTCTGTGATTTTTAAATTTAAGGAAAACATAATTAAAGCTTCAAAAAATATGAAGGGCTATCTAGACTTCCCAGTAGGGTTGATTTCCTGACTTATGATGACTTATATTTTTTTCTGCCATTTGAATAATAATGAAAAAAACTTCACATCCTCTTCTGGTTGTGTGTAGGTCTTTATTCTGAGACATCCTTCTCGTGCTCAATGCCAGGGTCACCAGCTCATGTGTATTCATCACCTACTGCGTGCTCCCTGTTACACCAAGAGCCTTAGAACACAGGACCAAGGGTTATTGCAAAAGTTACAAGATTCTGAGGCTCATATTGAATGCGATTTTTAGATGCCAGAGAGAATGTTTTGACCTGTATGGATAACTAAGTTTCTATAATATGTTCTGTCCACAAACACTCACTCGGAAGCATGAATTGTGCATACCAGAGGTGCACAGCATGGCAATACTAAGAGAGTTATCCTACACACAAAAAAACCCTACTAACCTAGTAACCTCTATTTAATCACTAGACTCTCCAGCTGGATGTCTAACAAGTCATACATGTTTAATAAATCAAGAAGCATGCATTTACCATTTCTGTTATCCATCGTTTACCAATCTGAGAAAAGCCTACGCTATATGAGCACAGTGTTATATATAAAGCATGTTCGTTGTTGCATATGTTGGCGTATGTATACTTGCCTTCGGAACACACAGATCTGTCTTCTGCCCTTGGGCACATGCCAGCATCTCCTGCTCTGAAAGTTTCTGGGCCCTTCAGAGAAGCACAACCGTCGTCAGAGCACCAGGTGTGCTGTTAATCTCCACTGCTGGATGTGAAGCGATGGGGCCAGGACCACCGTCGCTCGCGGGAAGGGTGCCCTTGCATCCTGTGTGCCCACCCTCTCCCCCTCCACTGCAGGCGAGAGAGAGTGAGACTAACTGGAATAAATGATGGCGGGTCAACTCCAATTGGAGGTTTTGTACTGTTGCTGACTTTCTGACAACGTTCAGCATCAGAGTCATACATTTATACAAAAAGAGGGTGAGAACGGTGAGAAGCAGCATCTGCTTTCAGGGCTGACGCGGAGGACCAGCACTCGGTCCTGGGGACTCCCTGAAGTCAAAGCAGTGACAGCTTTTTCAGTTACATCAGCAGCCTAGAGAGTGACAGACAATCGTGTGGGCCGATAGTTAATGATGCGAAGGCTTCGCATTTCTATGATGGTTTTACACCGATTTCTCATCCATTACCTCACTTTAGTTGCTAAGATGACACAGAGAATGGGGGTCATCGCCTTTGTCCTGTATGAACAGGGAAACCAGGTGTGGAGAGGTTTAAGCTTCAGCCCAGGGACATGCATTCAATGACAGAGCGGGACCTAAATAAGAGACCCTGCCATTGAGCCCGTGTGTTATCACCTTTGCTCCCTGGGGAGATTTCACCTTGCAGCCCAGCCCTGAGAAATGGGTTACAGCCAACTGGTCGCCAGGGCTTCACATGAGAGGAAATATGGAAGGTTCACCAAAGGCAGGGATGCCAACGACCAGGAGAACCACTAACAGTTTCTAGGGTGCTGACGGCGATGTGCCCTTAGGTGTCCAGGGTGAAACGGTTGCTTCTGTTTCCCAACTGCCTAGAGGTTAAGTTGAAAGAAAAGAAATGCACCTTTTTGACTATGCCACTTAGACACCCATCAAATCCTAATTACAGAGACCCTCACGCAGGCTGGGAGACCAGGCTTAGTTCTTGTTCGTAGGCTTTCGCAGACTGCCACGAGCCTATCACTGTGCCAGGCAGGGCAGAAAAAATAAATATAAGATTTGTGTGTTTGGTAAAATAGGAGAGATTAGGGATACAGGTTTATATAAACAAAACAATTTTAAGTCAATATAATAGGCGTATCTCTAGTTCAGCTACAAAATATATAACAAAGACAATTTAGGTGCTACAGGAAGCAGCAAGGTAGGGTGGAAAGGTTTGCGGCCACACTGTCCCTTTACTAACTGGGGCCAAATGACTCAGGCTTTCTCCACCGGGGTTTATTCATCTGCACTGTCTACCCTTGAGGGCAGTTGGTAAGGATCGGAAAGGTGAGGAACTAACACAATACCCAGCATATACAAGGCAATCATTAATGGTAGGCATATTTTCTAAGCTTGCCTGTCTTTGAGTGAATGAATGCTTGGCTTGTATTTTTAATAACAGCCTTTTGCCCACACTCGTAGTCACACTTCATTGTCACCTGGAGAGGTTCTTGAAGGTTATCCGTCTCATAGAGCCAAAACGGTAGTATTTCCTGGCGATAACTTCCCTTTCACGGACTCCCAATTTTATGTAAGATGTGCAGAAAATAGAGTGTTTCAAATTTTTTGCACACCAGTGCCAAGTAACTAAACTCACTCTAGCCCAGATACTTCTACAGCGTTTCTTCTTTTTCTTTCTTCGAAAGTGGAATGTTTTTGCTCCAGAGTTGAAAACGAACTTCATGGAAAATTCTAATGAATGTGAGAACATAGCATCTAAATGAGTTAAGGAAAGAGCAAATGTGGAAATTTTTTCTAGGAGTTTGCTCTGGGACAAGGGGACTGGATGACTTTATGAAAGGTGACTTTATGACCCTACAACATGAGGAAATGGTTTTGTATTAGAGATTACCATTACAGATTCAAAACCTGAGAATAAGTGAGCAAACCTTTATGTGGCCTGGCCGTGCTGTTTCAGTGTGTGCACTTATTAAGGGTGCTCACCACCCCTACCATCCTCCCTACCATCCAGACCTACATATCCTGGGGTGGACTGGACATCTCTGTTCTCTTGAATGTCTCAACACCTCAAATTCTGCATCTAAAATGGAATTCACTGTCTTGCCCACAAACCTGCTTCCTGTCCAACACCACCAGCTACCTAAACACCCGGACTAGAATCCAGGCATCGTCCCTGCTTCCTGCCTTTCCCTGGGCTCTTCTGCCTCATCAGTCACCGCGTGCCGCCAGTTCTAACTGCAGAATATCTCTCACATCCAACCGCTCCTGCCCATCCTTTGATTCAGGCCACAATCATGTTTTACTTTTTAATCATTGCCAGTCTTTTTCCTCCCCAGTCCATGCTCTGTGTTCCAGATAACGTGATCCTTCTAAAACATAAGCATGAGCGTGTCTCTTGTCTACTTAAAACCCTTAAGTGCTTTTCTGCCTCAAGATAAGAACAAATGTCTAAATGTAATTACAAGGCCCTTCATAATCAGGGTCCTGCTACCTACCTTCTCCAGCCTCACCTCTCCCCATACCTCGCCCTGGGTTTGTGATGCTCCAACATGCTGAATATGGGTGTAGTTCCTCCAGAGTACCTGCTGTCCCCTGCCTCAGGGCCTTTGCATGGACTTTTGTCTGCCTGACACACACTGCCTCCTTCCACCTCCCTAACTTCCTATTCATCCCCTTCGGCCTAAACATAATGTCCTGTGGGAAGCCTTTCCAGGTACCCCATCCCCGCCGCCAAGTCTGAACACATTCCCTCCCTTTGGGCTCCCACAACACTCTGCGTGTCTCTTACAAGAAGGCAAATCACATTGCATTGAATCCACCGCTTCCCATCAGGCCCGTCTTCCACACGACGACAGGCTCCTAGAGGGTGGGGAGCACATCTGGGCTCCCGATTCTTAAGTAAGAGAATGAATGAGATCCGAAAGCTCTTACACACTTCCCTCAGCGAGAAAATGTAAGTAGAGGATCAGAATTAAGACATAAACAGGAACAGCCTCATTTCTTATGTTAAATTACCACAAGCCCCATTATTGCTGATGGAAAATGTGTTCACTCTTACATGTTAATACAGATGGAGAAGATGGATGCTCTTCTCCTATTTATTCTGAACTCAGAGACAATACCATAAATCTTACAGTCAAACAGAGCGTGCGTGTGAACAACTGACCGGGCCCAGAAGACATGTCTCTTCAGACTAATGTAAATTTGACATTTTTGTTGGAGGGGAAAAAAAAAAAGCAAGAAAGC